GTAGATAAATAGGTACCACCTTGATGGGAAGGTAACGGCATTCCATGTCTAGTCATGCTGGCCACATGACCACAGAAATTGTCTATGGACAAATGCTGGCTCTATGGCTTGGAAATGGGGATGAGCACCGCCCCCTAGAGTTAGACACGACTGGACTAAATGTCAAGGGGAACCTTTACCTTTACCTTAATACAGTATATACATACTTAGAAATATAGGGAATTCCTAGGTGCAGATAGTGGAAGCTATTGTAGAAGGAATTCCTGAAAAGAGAGAGATCATGTTGACACAAAGGAATAAAACAACAGGGGGCTGATATAATGCTTTTAAAAAGCATTGCTCACCTTCAAATTTTGATGTGGAAGAAGATGGAAATCCAGGAATATATGTGCACTCCTTGTGCCCAAAGACCTACGCTTTTGATCCAGGAAAGTTCACACTGAAATAAATGTTAGCATCTAAAATGCCATAATGTTTTGCCTTTCTCTCTCTCCTTTCCCCCTCCCACCTTTTATTTTACCAACATCATGAAACTGATTTACTCAGTAAAGAAACATACAGCCTTGAGATTGCGAGACCTGAGCAAGACTGTTGATGACAGGACCTCATTCATAGCAAGACAAGAAAACTTTCTTTTTAAATCTATGTTCTAGAATTGTTTTTTTCCAAATTATGGTTCAGTACGTATCGGATTTCTGGAAGCAAGCTTTCTTTTTAAATCTATGTTCTAGAATTGCTTTCTTCTTTCCAAATTATGGTTCAGTACGTATCGGATTTCTGGAAGCAAGAGTAAATGTATACTGAAAAGCATTGATATTCGATTATTAAGACCCGTCTCTTTCAGCCAAGTTTTGCTACTAATTTAATGTCTTTCCTCCTTAAATGGAACTGATGGTGAAATGTTAAAAGGACAGTAAGCCTGCAACGCAAGGAATGCTGGTAGTTGTAGGAGCACAATTTTAATCCTAGTGAAGTGCTCTAGGGTCGGGGAGATGTAATTTTATTTGCTAAAGCGGGCCATTTCACCACCACCTCTGCTGGCCAGGATTTCTGGGAGATGAAGTCCAAGAATATCTAGAGGCCCAAGGTTGGGGACCATTGCTCTTAGACGGTAGGGGAGATGTAACTTTATTTGCTAAAGCGGGCCTTCCTAATTTGCATTCCTCCTTGCTATTGGTCGCACCGCTTTCTTACTCTTCCCAGAAAAGAGGCTGCGCCGGTTTGGGCGTAAGAGTCGCGTGGAGACGTGCAGCTCCGCAGGGCTTCGCTAACATGTCTGAGCAGCCAGAACTCCGAGGCCTCACTGATGAGGAAGCCCGCAGCGCCTGCTCCGATCCAGATGCCAGCACGAAGGTAAAAGGGGGAGATAATACCGGGGGTAGGAGTACGGAGAGAGATGAGGTCACTTTGGTTGATTTCAAGCCGCTCTCGCTGCTTACGGGAAGACAAACGCAGAGAATTCGCCTATACTGTAAATGCAACGAGGGAAAAGGTTGCGTGCCTGAACTTTAAGAGGGCGATCCGAAGGATCGGGTTCCTCTTGGGATGGTTGAGGTCGCCAACGTAGAGGCTGCTCGGGTTTCGGCTGGCTGCAATCCTGACCAGGCTCTCCTGGGAGCAAGGGTCGTTTGAAAACAATACGTTCCTTACTTCTGAGTAGACGTGGGCGGGTTTGTACACTCAGGAAATGCATGGGAACTCTAGATGCCGAGGTATATGTTCTCTTTTTGGAGTTTACCATAATTTTATTTATTTCTTTACAGTATTTTTAACACGCTTTTCTCCTTAAAAAGGAACCAAGGCAGCTTATGAGAATTAAAATACATTTAAATCAGTAGCCATGAGTAGACAATACTAAAAAGATCAATGAGTGCAAAACCAAAAGAGGGGCTGCTGCTCCATGCTTTGGCCGTCATTATTTGGGAAATGGCCGATGGGCATTACTCTTTCTTGAGTGTTTTTATCCAAAGATTGCAGCCTTGGGTTGTAATCCTATGAACTCCCTGGGAGTAAGTTTTTACTTAACACAGTGAGACACCTGAGAAACCATAGGTAGGATGAGGCAGAGATGTAAGCTGTGACTTCAGGAATTTTGCTTTTCCACACAACTGTTAAAGGTACAGTCCACCTTGTCCATTTTTTCCCTGTCTCTTATTTATTATGGCTACCTTTTGAGGCTTAATAAATCATTTTCTCTCACTTTTTTATTTAAATATTTTTTTCCTCCATAGAGAGAGCCATGGAGCCATACAAAATACTGTACAGTAATTGTAAACAGTACATAAGAAGCAACACTGAAATGGATTATCCTGCTCAGTTGTGAAAAGCCCCTTTTAGTGCTATTCTGTACAGTGGACTTTGGGAGAGTCAATATTTTGCCATCTTGAAAACTAAATAAAGGTACATGAACCCCAGACCTATGTATATTCCTTAGTTCCAATGATTTTTGAGGCTTCATTTCCGGTATGCCTAGAATTCTACCCAACCACCCAGTTTTGGCATTCCTCTGTGCATCCAAATTAATCCTTTTTCAGTAAAGTCACATGCCCTTGTTACTAAAACCCAATAGTCATGTAACAGTGCAACCGTTTACTTTTTAAAATGTCTAACACAATTTTTAAATCAGAGTTTGTTGTCCTTGCCCACTTTATCAACTGTTTTATGTAGCCTAGTAAATCAGTTCTTGACTGCTGATATTAAAGCAGTCCACTGTATATTTACTTAAAAATTCCACTGTGTATAATGAAGCATATTTCCCAGTAAGTGTATTTACATTTTTACATCAGTTAAAAATGCAATATTTAAAAGTTAAAAATAGTAAATTCAAATATTTAAGGGAATTAAATAAACATTCTATAAAATATTAGATATTATTACTAAAACAGATTTAAAAGCAAAAAAGGAGGCTTTTAAAATAAAATAAAACTCTTAAGACAACCAGTCACTAAAGGAAAACTTGCCTGAACAGAAAGGTCTTTGCCCGCTTGCAGGAGAGCAAAGATGGAGCCAGCCTAGTCTCCCATAGGGAGGGAGTTCCAGAATCTGGGAGCAGCAACAGAGAAGGCCTCCATGTGACCACCAAACGCACCACAGACGGTGGTGTCACTGAGAGGAAAAGCTTCCCCTGGTGATCTTAATATCTGGGCAAGCTCATAAAGAGAGAGATGGTTTTTGAAATAGCTTGGGCCAGATCTATTCAGGGCTTTATAGGTTACACCTAGCACGTTGAATTCTGCCTAGAAATGGATCTGCAGCCATTGGAGCTGCTGTAACAGGGGAGTTATGTGATCCCTGTGACCAGCCCCAGTTAGCAACCTGGCAGCAGCACTTTGGACTTGCTGAAGTTTCCAAACACTTTCCAGAGGCAGCCCTACGTAGAGCGCTTTATAGTAATCCAGCTGTGATGTAAAATACTTATAATATAGAAGATTTGTGTATTTGGCTTCTCATGCTGTGAATGTTGCCACCTTTGTCAGGAATGGGTTCAGCAGGAAGACCCTCCTCGACCGTAACTCCCATAAATCTGAGACCCCCCAGAGCTGCTGGATTTAGATTTTGTTAATGTTGGAGAGCAGGGTACAAGAAAGGGTTGAATGCCAGATGCATCTTGTTCTCCCAGATCACTGGGGGGGGGGCTGTATTGGTTTCATTAGCCCTCTACCAAGTCCAGTCTTTAGTCAAACCCCAGTTCCACTCACTGAGTTCTCTCGGCCCAAAATGTGCACTTGAAGCTGAATCTTCCACACAGCCCTGAGCCAACCAACTTTCTTCAGGGAGGAGTTGTGATTTCTGCTCACTTGTGCTGGGTCTCCCTGTGTCCTTCTTGGTAACATTTAAGACATTGGTTCGGGAGCTTCCTCTTCCTGCCCTTCTATGGGGTTGGGGTAAAGTTGGATGCCTTGCTGACTCTCTCAGCCTTCAAAGGGTTTGTGAGGGTGTTGAGATCAATGGTGGGTTGGATATGGGTGTGCCACATCTGTGCTTTCTAACCTTGGCCAGCTCCACCTGGATCAAGGCACTACTCCAGGGTTTCTGGACAGTTGTTACATCCTCCTCCCCATGGCACAGAAAGCAGGATCCAAGTCCTCCTCTCTCTATTGCCAATGTAATAGACCTCCTCTTCTTCCCTTATATCAGACAGCTATCATCTGGGCCCAGCCCCTGCCTCCTCACCCAGCTGTAGCTTGTGTTTCCCTGGCTCCCAGCTGCAGCCTCTGTTTCCTTCTCTGTACCCTCCTGGCAACCAGCTGCCGGAGTCTGTTGGGCCCAACAAGGGGCATGGGGCAAGGCCAGTTGGCCTACTAGGGATGCCCAGAAAATATCCCATATATATGCTTGATTGTAGTCCTCATCATTGGATTCTAAATATTTTCACTTCTTAGAGCTAAAGGCAGTTGTTCAGAAAATAATATTCAGACATTTATATAATGTGAGTTAATGATTCCTGAAAATGTAGAACCAGAGTATTTTGTTCATTTGGTACAAAACTGCACAATTATAATCATGAAAAAGAGCTTGGAAACTTAACTTTAACAACTAATGGGTAACATAATGGCCAAAATCCTGTTGCTTAGTGTAGTAAATCACATTAGAGAAGTCTCACTGAATCAGTGGAATTTGGTGCATCAACTCCCTATGTTCAGTTAAGTGAAATGGCCTGTTCTAGTTGTGACTTACTTTAGTACAATAAGTAGCTCTTTGTTTTTGATGTTTAGTCATTAAGTCGCTTAAGTAGCTCTTTGTTTTTGATGTTTAGTCGTTAAGTCACTTTTGACTCTTTGTGACCCCATGGACCAGAGAACGCCAGGCCCTCCTGTCTTCCACTGCCTACCGGAGTATGGTCAAATTCATGTCGATAGGTTTGATGACACTGTCCAACCATCTCGTCCTCTGTCGTCCCCTTCTCCTCTTGCCTTCACACTTTCCCAGCATCAGGGTCTTTTCCAGGGAGTCTTCTCTTCTCATGAGATGGCCAAAGTATTGGAACCTCAGCTTCAGGATCTGTCCTTCCAGTGAGCACTCAGGGTTGATTTCCTTCAGAATGGATAGGTTTGTTCTCCTTGCAGTCCAGGGGACTCTCAAGAGCCTCCTCCAGCACCACAATTCAAAATCATCAATTCTTTGGCAGTCAGCCTTCTTTATGGTCCAGCTCTCACTTCCATACATTGCTACGGGAAAAAATATAGCTTTGAGGGCAAGTGATGTCTCTGCTTTTTAAGATGCTGTCTAAGTTTCTCATCACTTTCCTCCAAGAAGCAGGTGTCTTTTAATTTTGTGGCTG